GTCAACGTAGCCAATATTTGACAGAAGAGTCATTTTAGATTTTACACGGTTTGAATAATTTGCTCTGACAATCTATTGAAACCAGTAGCAATGATTGAATTTTTAAACGCACGTCCTTCGGATTCACTCGCAAAGCTAATTAAATTTAAAATTTAAATACGATTGGAAAGATTGGTGAGTGAGTTGAAATGTGATCAAATATCGAGCACATTTTTATCACAGAAGAAGTCATATATATATGGTAAATTGATGGAGGTGCAACAATTCAAGCTCGCAAATGCGTTTATTGAACTATTTAAATATCCCCGCGCAAACAAGTACAGGGAATGTGAAGAGTTGCATGTGGGAAGAAGTCGCTACAGCTAAATACCTCGATGGAATATCGCATGAAAGCCAAGTTAATTTGCGCGAATCCTAACAACATCGACTTAACCATCCATTTGAGCAGTAAAATTTTTCTATCGATTTTTTTACAAAACGCAAGCCTTGAGAAGTTTCAATCTCAACTTTTGGAAAGCTATACTAGAAGACTTCTGCATATTGAACAACGATGGTGGACGAGCGTTTGAATATGCAGCTGAACATCTGATGTGCTAAGACGAGTTTGGGTAACTTTCCGATTTCGCTCTATTTTCATTGATTTGAGAAAACCCTTGTTTCACCGACTTTATCATTCGTTCGAATAGTGAAGCCTAACTATTTTAAAGATGATAAAAGTCCGATGATCAAGGCACCTCACTACCGCTCACAATGTCTTGCTCATTTTTATTTATGCGTTTATTTTAAGTTTAGACTAAATTTGATAGTCTAAATGCGATAATCTTTAGCTTTCAGTTAGTTCAAACCTGGTTTAACGGGGTTGAATGAGCATTTTGGAGCTAAAGTGGCAACACAGAAATTACATAATTCAATAGACCAAACACCATATTTGGCTTGATGTCATGACCTTTCGTAGAGACATTAAAATAACGGATGCTTTTTAAGAAATCGTTTTAAAAGCATTCATTTCAAAAAATATATTTTTTCCCGTTTTGAATAATTAAATATTATCTCTCTCTTGCGTTGCAAAGAAAGCTAACGTGATTTAACTATGTGGCTATCATGAAGAGCGTGATAGACTTATCCCCACTTGTGATAAGGATTGAAATCAACCTTGTATAAGCGAATAACTATCAACCGTAAAACGGAGTTTGGGAGCCTGATGGTTAGATCAAGGCAAGTCCACATTTAATTTGAAAATATTACTCGTAGAAATTAGTAGAATTAATTTTTCGAAATTTCATTTATTTTCAATCTGACGCCACAGACGTGTGGATCATCACTCATTTGCCAAGGGTTGGCAGCAACTAGATTGTTCTAAATTAGTCCACTTTCATTTATTTCTGTGAATCGAGATGATTCTCCATAAAATTTGTCTACTACATTTTCCAATTGCATCAGAATATACCCACAATATTTGAAATTTTGCTACATGCGAATTAAGAGATCATTTTATACTTCATTACTTGGCCTTCTTGATAGCTGTCTTTATAGAAAACGATAACTCACTTTACAATTCCTCTCTTTTATATAATTCAATGAAATGAAATTTTTTCAATGATTTGATCAATTATTGCATTTTTATCAAATTGACACTTAATTGACCAGAAGAACAACACATGATGTGATATATTTTATTTTTTTACATATGTGGGACTCTTCATCAATGTTCAAATAGAAATCCTGCTATAGAACATTACTCACAAATATTTACCTATTAATGTTCATCCACCTTATGCTAGAGTTATCTGATAACTAATCCCTTTGCCAAAAGACACTTCACTATTAATATACGTACCGAATAAACGTATTCCTTGCTACACGTCTGTTTTCCGTATAGCTGGGCTATAGCTTAGCTTATTCTGGGAGTCTAGCTAGATGTTGAAGAATCTGCCATAGAGATTTCTGAGTCGGTCAGGCTTTACTAGCGTAGCAATCCTCTACACATATATTAGCAGTGTGCCAATAAATATGCCTTCCTTCATCTACTTTTAATTGAAGATTGAAATTACTGCAGACAATTGCCATTGAAAATACCAGCTGAACACTCAAAAAGTTTACTACGGGATACTTCAAACTTTGTTCAATGGACTTGAACCCGCACTTTGGAGCAAAAGTTTATTTATTTTTTTATTTATATCAAATGACAGGCGTTTTGATAGTTATCATTACCCATTTAGTTGACCTCAGGCTTCACAGATGGGAAGGAACATCAAAGTGAAAAAAGTCGAATTTTTCATATTTCCAAAATTTAGATGGAGAAAACTGCCCCCAATGCCAACACCTCGATATGGCACAGGAGCAGCACATATCCCCAGCGTTGGTGACACAGTTGTTAGTGGGTGTGGAAATTAATTTTTCCTAAGGAATCAATTCAAATGGCATCGAATTTTCTAAATCACAATTTATCTGTGTCTACACTGTAAGACAAATTAATGTATATCTTGATTTTGGTGTGGTTTTTGTTGAAGGCACTCCAGACCCCTGGTACTTTTCGCTTTGACTACTCTTGATGAATAGGAAGAATGATTAGTAGAATTAATACCAGGGAAGTTCCATTGGCATCTCTCACCAAATTTGTTCAAATGTCCCATATAGTAGCTCAATAGACATACTCTCCGGAAATGGAGGCTCGATAAATCAAATGATATCAATTAGTGTGCAGATGGAAGACATCCACACTCATCCACTTTGTAGTCAGACATTGGGAGCGTTGATGATACAGAGGGCACTCTTTACTATTACAATGCATATTTTGCAAACGAGTTCATACCAGTGATGCTTTGAGCACATTGGTCAATTAGTTAAATTGAGTGTTCCAGCAATTTTTCATTACTAAAATGATCGGCTTAATTCGATGAAAGCTTGATCAGCCAGAAATGGCATTTCAAACAAAGATCTCATTGCTGCGTGCATGTGATCTCGAGTGATCATCATCCAGCCAGTCTTTCCTTCAGCAAGTTGGAGTCGAACAACTTCAGCTCCTACTACAAAGTCCTTGGATATTTTTTGGAAACGAAGTTTACGAAATTCAAGGCACTCTGTACATGGTTGAATTTCTCGTCTTTCAATTTCGAACTCACTAAACGCGAAAGAACTTTGATCGTCTTTTAGAGTTGATCAATGCAAAAAAAATTGACTCGAGATTTTGTTATTGAAACGTTAGTAAATGGATCAGATTTCAACCTATCGGAAAATGCAAGGTAATGTCTTACTTCAATTTTGAATGATTGGTGAATTAGGAGAAAATTGCTAGACACTTTTATGAATTTGAATAGATCTGCCAGGAAAGGGGTTGCTCATCTTTGCATGTAACTCATTGTTTAGACATTGCAGAACAAGAATGCTTGTTGGTGTTCATGGTCATATGGACGATTCGAGTTATGGGGTTTTGGAGACATTTCCTAAATTACGTGGAGGAAGAAAATTTTCTTTCCCATTAATATCTTGACCTTACAGCTGCACAGTTGCTTTGGTTGGTTGAAGCCAGTTTCAATGGTTTACTCCCAATTACTTTATTTTACTCTTTATAGGCAGTGTTTATACTCTGGGTGGCATACACAAGTTTAAAGAGAGTGTATCAAGAGTGGAAAGAATCAATCCACAGAATGGTGAAGTGACCTTACTCCAACCAATGATCGAGGAGAGACATACACTTTCTGCAGTGGCACGAGATCATGAAATTCTAGTTTTTGGAGGTTATAATTGGCAAATTCGAACAATTTTAGACATTTGTGAGGAATTCCAACCTGCAACCAATGCGTAAGCAACTTATTTTCTACTTATATGCATTTCGAGATATTTTGCTTGGTTTTGGTTGGAGAATGAGTTGGATTCACTTGTTTGCTATAAACAATGCTTTAATTCGTGTTAGGACTTTACATTTATCTTTTGTTACACCTCGATAGTTCTCAAACATTTAACTATTTTATACATAATCATTAGCATTAAGATACTGGTGTCGATAGCACATTGCTGGGTCAAGGTATGAAGAATTTTAAAGCAATGGGATTAAAGTTACCTCTTACAACTGCTTATTGAAGACCTGATTGTCAAGATTTCGGCAGTGGTGTGCCCCAACATGTACATATGAAGATGGTAGAATTTACCTGATCGCGAACATCGATTTATAGGTCGCTGTTAACGAAAAATTTACTAGTGCCCAAATTTTTCATTTATTTAAAATTAGGTGGGTAGAGCAGCCCCCAAAGCCAACACCTAGGTATGCCACAGGAGCAGCACATATCCCCGGTGTTGGTGGATGGACAAATACTGGAGATGAAAGAACGCCTATCAACAACGCAGAAATCTTCTTGACAACTTCATCGTCTCTTGCGCATGCAGGCAGTTGATGTGAAATCGCTCCTATGCTCCATTCAAGGGCATATTCAAAAGCAGAATTTTTCAATGGAAATGTATAAGTCGCTGGTGATCTTTTTAATTCAACTTCTTGTGTGGAGATGTTGTCCTTATTTACTGAAGAACCTCCCCAGTGGATCGAAGTGGTCAACGTCTCTTTTAGTATTGATTCGATGATCTCTTTTAAAGGGATCTTTTTAATTTTTTTTAATTTTATGTCTTTATCATTATTATCTGCTTTCATTAGTAACTACTACTGACACAGTTTTGAGCACATCTTTTGTAACTTTTTTCAATTGGAATAAACTTAAAGTGTACTCAGTTTTTTGGCAATCAAAAATAATGAGGCAATTTAAGTAATGAGAGAGGGTGATTAAAGGTTGGAGTGAAAAGTTATTTCAACATCTTCAAGAATTTTATGAACTCATCAAGTTTATGACACTTCAACTGGAATTTTCACACGTAATTTTATTTTCCCAACAAAAATCTAAATTTACATATTTTGAAGTTCATTCCAATGATGTTTTGATGGAATTAATCAATTCGTTCAATTGAACAATTACACCCGAAATGTGAAAGCAGATAATTACATTTAGTTAACGTAATTTGGATTTACAATATTCACTTGATTTCACTTAGGTTCAGTTATAATAAAGTATGAAAATATTTCTTGTTTATTGTAGGTAATGCTGGAAGAATATAGGAACTACTATTCAATCAACACGAAGGTGTAAGTTATATGACATTTAAGCCCCATGAACGGACAAGTTGCTAACCAAGCACCATTTACTTTTACTTCAGAACTCCTCAAAAACAAGTATTCTTGGAAATTAATTTCTGAATTTGACTCTAAAGATGACCTACGACTCCTAAAAATAAATCATTTTTAATGATTCAATTACAATTGTCGAAAGGTGGTCGCGATCAATTTGTCGGATATCAATTGAAAATTGCATTTTATGATAAATCAATTTGAAAGCGGAGCGTACGATTGCGCTTAGAATGAAAAAGTGGCAGAATGTGGTGAGTAACTGCACCACTGGAATAGCACACACCCTTTCACAAACAATTAAATTCTATCAAAAGCACCACAGCTGGCACGTGTTACCACAAATTTCTTGGATCTCAATTTGATGTTTGCTATCTTCTGAAGAGAATGGAACATTATTTGATTAACGTCATTAGTATTTTTTCATAATTGGATTTTATAATCGAAATTGATATCATCGCACAAGAACTATGTGCTTTATACAAAACTTGATATAACTTAGGTTAATAGTTCGCATACTGTTTGATCATATTTAATAATCTTTGATTTAAAATAAATCTCTTTGAGAAAATGAATTAGATCTTGTTTCTTTTATTGGTTGGTGAATTGGAGTGCAAAATGTACAAAACTTTACTCATGGGGCGCTCATAATTTTCTGATCAGGGGGCTTCCCGTAGTATTTTTCATACATTACCTACTTTTTCATCTTATTCCACTCAATTGATATTCCTTTAATACGAACCCTCTCTTCCCCTCCCCCCCCCCTCAACTCATGGCTTTTTATCTTGTCATTTAGATTAAAACAAATTTATTTCTCAAATCAAAAATCACTTCAAACAAACAGAATAGTGATTTTACCTACCACTTAAATAGTTCGTGTAAATCAGAAAGTGATGAAGCATCAAAGAGAACAAGTGCCATCTTCTCTAAGGCGAGAGAGCACTGGGTTGGCGGAAATACAATTTGCAAAACTTAAGTTGGTTAATTCTGAGAGAACTAAATTTCTCAACTTTCTACCCAGGTGAACATTGTTCCCACTTAATACGATTTCACATTTTCATTCATTTCCAAATGAAAGCTAAAAACAAACAAGAATGCCCATTATACAAATGTCAGCACACATAAGAACTTTCTAACATTGAGTCATTTCGTGATTGTGTATTCAGTGATTGAGACGATAGGTGTTAATGGTCAATTCTACGATTTGAAGCCATGTCACTAATAAGCCGTCAGTGTTGTCGATCAATAAAGCATATCTTAGATCTCCCCAAATATATTTTGGAAATCAATCTTCTTTAGGCTACTTGAAATACGAAAAGGGGCACTTTTTATCCTCTTTCAATCTGTTTTCCAGGCTGGCTTTTATGTTCTAGATGGGCGTTGGAACCTATCCTTTGTTGCATGCACGCCTTGACGAAACCAGAAGTAGTACAGTCTTTGTAAGCGAATATTCAATGAAGTAAATACTCACAATTGCTTTTGGCTACTGTTTGTCTAAAACACTTTGGAATGTCGTTTTCTAACCTTGTAAAGGAAAATTACATTTGATGTCATTAAGTGAAATGTAAGTACTTAATTCAATGTTAAATATTAGAAGTCAACTAATTATTAGAACGAAATGAAAAGAATGATTGGTCAAATCCAATTCTAAATGTAATTGCAGCTGGTGAATGAAATAAATCATTCTTTAAGTTGGAAAAAACTCACAATCGACATCTTTAAATTGACTATATCTGTGTCTATTAAGTGATGAAGAAAAGCTGTAAGAAAAGATGCGCTGAGAAAATCTGTGGGACTTCAACTGATGTATTGCATGTAAGTGTAGAAAAACTTCGATAACGAAAAATCTTGACAAAAAATTCAATTCGCTGGTTTCTGAATTGAACCGTTTGGTGTAGAAATAACAGAGAGGAATCAAGGTTAATTTTGAACAAGAAAGGATGATAGGTTCAAAGTTAGATAAAGAGAAGATGCAGATAGTTGAAGATGGAATGAAGATTGCTGGTGGATCGGGCCGAAGAAGTGGACGGGTTTGGAGTTGGAAAATATTCTGATGCAGGTGTCATAGAGAAGAAAACAATAATATTCCAAAAGTTCATATGCGAATACATTGAACTCTGGACTTGGCAAAGAACATTGAAATAATTGGAGTGGAGTGATTGATCTCACTGGGTATTTAGGGATGGACAAATGATAACAAAGAAGTTGCACGGTCACTCCAGAATTTCGTTGTGTACACCTGTTCATTGCCTACTTAGGAAAAACATTGAACATAAAATGCACCTTCAGTGCGGCTGTCTACACCACTACCCAACTACTTCGAGGTTCATTTCGACGTGCATTAGACTTATTAGTTACTGATGTCTGACCTTGGACTTTATCTATTCGGGGAATGTCTTAAACAGCACACGGCTGCAATTGGTGGTTTTCTGAATTGGTTAACACACATTACGTCCCAGTAGTAATTTACCTCTTATAATCTTGGAATGCTCGTAGTATGCAAACTTCGACGTTTCAACGAGGATTTATACAAAGCAGCCTCTCACCAATCACTCTGCCTGAAGTGGCCTTAATCGAATGTTTAGAGAAATGGGTCTCTCCACGTATTTGGCTGTTTATTTTTACACATTTAGTATATGAATGGCTGAACATCTAAATGCTATAACCTCAACTCGAATCTCACCAGAGTAAACAATTAAAGTTAACTACGATAAATAGCTGAAATTTATAGATGATTAGAATATATTATTCTTCGAATTGCACTGGTGTTTATTCTGAAAATCGTTTTTATTATTCTCTACGTTGAAATTATAGAGAAAGTTGCTATTTTAAAATTTAATTTTTTTGTTAAATGCATTCCATTTATAATTGGCATTGAGTACATACTTTTCAAAATTGCATATTTGTATTCAATCAGTTCGGAAAAGCAATTAATAAAGAGGAGCTCATTATAAGAACACTTTGTAATCTGCTTCAGGGCAATTTCTCTTCCCTAGTTGATATTGAATGTATTACTGGAGCTAATGTGAGTAGTATACTCCTTAAATGAGTTTGACCCCGATCCCACTCAAAGAGGGATATTGGAGGTGGATATATTTATCAAGAGAATGAAGACGATAATTTTTGTGTGAAAAATCGAAGTTGAACGAATTTGCTTTATCCGATGTCCAGCTACTCATTCATGCTCAAAGTTAAACATAAGCTGTCCCTTATTATGAAAAACTAAAAGAGCGATTCCACATTCTGTATATATTCTAGTTTTCAAATTTCTACTTAGTTGCGCTGTTAACGAGTGTCACAGTGTATCTAATGAGGAATGCTACATGTAAAAGGCTTTCCTTGACTCCAACCATCATTTCTGGTTAAAATGCCCTTGTATGCAGCAGCTTCTGATATCAGCAAAGCCATTTCAACAGAACGCACGACTAGAGAAGTGTTGGTTGCTAATTGAGCTCACATTGACTATGCATAGTAATGGAACTGCATTCCACGCAACTTGAGTGAATATTGAAGGCTGATAAGCAGAAAAGACCTCTCTAGACGTGTTCACACCACCCTAATATCCCACTTTAAGAGATAGTTTTGAGTAGTATTTCATTTCGCATACTTTTTCTTCCATTCACTCTGAGATTGCTTTTTACTCTAGAAAGAGAAAACAGACATATCACGTGGAACAACTTTATTGTGGATGTGATGTGGTATCTCTGTACAGATAAATGTTGAAGTACTCATGAGGTTCCTTCACAGAACACTCTGGGTACTAATCTTATTCAATTTTTCAATCTAAATATTTGAAATATTGGCTTTATTATTTTGCATATTTTTTTCCGTCTTTATTATTTTCCCATTTCTCAAACAACTTTTTGCTTCAGTAATAGAGGAAAAGAATTTTTACTTCCTAATTTTTATTGTTCAATCTATTTACAACTAAACATACATAGTTTAAACATTTCACAGTCATTTTTATAATTTCGATTCGTTTCCAAAGGTAAAAGTCATTTAAAATTGTTGATCAGTGGTGAGAAAATAAATCATTCGAGATAATCAATCTTC